TTACGATGATTGCTCAGTACCCAAGCAGTGGGGGATGATACCTTTGCATACCTTTGCGCCACTGCTTGTGTCGCTGTGTCGCTCCTTTCTGGGGAAACTCTATGTTCTTTATTTGTGACTTGTGAGGGGTCTTCCCAGATCCAAGCCAGCTCAGTGGGCAGTGTGCAGTCAAAAGAACGCCCTTGTTTGTTGAGGGCCTGCACTTGAATGTTGCCCCAGACTGGGCGATCATGGGTGGTTTTCTTCGCAGGTCGAGGTGCCCGAGCCAGAAGCTGTTCTGGAAGAGCCGGACAGTAGCTATGAAGTCTTAGCACCAGGTGCCAAATCGTTGGACATGCTGGCGCGGTAACATTGCTTGCGGGCATGAAGACTTCAACCACAAAACACAATGGAAACATAGGCATAGAGAACTGCTTGGAGACTTAGCCTGCAGCACACAGACTGTCCAGCTCATAATATAATACGGCATTTTCCCACATTTTTATCGTCAATTTTATTGTTTGACCTGCTAAGTTTGAGGGTTGAGGCTGAAATACACTGAAATACTTGTGCCTTGAGCTAGGCGGGAATGCTTCCAACTCCCTAACACTTTGCCGCTTTGTATGGATCCACTTGCGTGATGTGGGTGAGCCACCATCACCGCACCGGTCGGCCAGGTACTGCCGGATGCCCCCCAGAGCTGGAAATCAAATCGGTTTCGGAATGCCAAGCGGCGCTCAAAGAGCTTGGGATCGACGTGGATCCACGTTGGGTGCCTTGTTTTATGGGTCCGCTGGCGGCGGACAAAAGGGTCCGCTGGCCCCAAGCGGGCGGGCCATTGGGCGGGGCGCGGCGCCTTTGCCCCTAGTAGCGTCCTTTTTCCTAGTAGTAAGGCCAGGAGCTCCTGGTAGCTTCTTTGCTCCTAGTAGCGATGCCAGGAGCCCCTAGTAGCGTCCTTGCTCCTACGTCTATGGGAGTTCTTTTTTGGTCACTGCTTCGACTTGGGTGTGGATCCATCAACGAAATCCGAAAGAGTCCGGACTGGTCGGAAGAGAGATGTGCTGGATTTAATGGGATAACCAGGTTGCTGCCTTCTTGTCATAATGCATGATTTTTGTAAGTTATGCATCATCAGCTGAATTCACTTGCACGTGGTTCCTCAATTTGGGAACGTGGCGGACATTGAAGAGATCACCTCCCTCTATCTACCATCGGCTATGCAATGTGCAGGACATGCTGCAAGCTTTTTCATGGATCCATGCTCCTGGTGTTTGGGGTGCTGCAGCTAAGGTCTCAAACTACCCTGAGCTGCCCAGCAAGTGCTCGGTCCGTGAATCTCCCAGCGCGGAGCATCCGGAGCGCCAGCTGCGATTGACTTCTTTTGACCCGTGAAAAGCTTGGATGACTGGATGATTGACATCTTGAGGTGCACATGTGGCGACGATGGACACCGAGACATCCCAGATGCCAATCCATTTGATGTGGCCTGCAGTTTTGACAACTGGTATGACTAGTGCGAAATCAGAGCTGAAGCAGGGGATGGTCCAGAAGGCAAACTCTTTTGGAATGTTTAGGGGGGTCCCAACCACTCCAAGCATAGAACTGCAGTCCTTTCTCCCACCCCATTGCCCATACTACTCGTGAGGAGCGCATGCACTTTAACTCCTTCGTGGGTGGCCTTGGCCGTCAAGACCTCTCGCCTGTTTGTGGCTTGGTCCCAGAGCTACGAAGTTGTATAGGAAGAGACAGTGAGAAAAGGGGCAGATGCCAAAGTCTTCAGGAAGTTAAGGTGACCTGGCGGCGGGCCCTCGATTGCTTGAAAGACAGAACGTTCAGATTAACCTGAGATGACCATGTTAGCCTGTCTTCAGGGGAATCGTCGGAATCGTGTATCATCCTGCCGCAAGCTCCTGAAACGCGAAGGCAATGGTATCAAAAGACCGACAAAGTCATTCCAAGCACCTGCAGTAGTGGCACCAAGTGCCACATGAGATCAAGGAATATGTTAGTCCTGTGATGTCCTTGTGTGGTTTGGCGTCAAGGCACGCTAGGTGTACTGACCAAAGACGTGCCAAGTTAATCCAAACGATATCTCACTCCGAGGCTCACCTGTAGGGCAGCAGCACAACATGGTATCGTAATGTAACTAAATATGCATAGCCACAGAACTCCTGCAGCGTGAAGTGTAACAAGAAACTTCAAGTGCCAGAAAAGTGCCTGAAAGGGATGTTCCTGTCGTTCCTGTTTCTCGTCGTTCCGGTGTTTACCTCGGGCGAACCGGTGCCCAGGCAAGAGACGCGGCGGTTCGCCAACTTCCGCCAGCGCCACAGTGACGTCTTCCGCAGAGATCAAGGAGATTGACATTTCAACTTTGCCTGAGCGCCCTGGTCTTTGGCAATTCTTGAAGTTCCGCAAGACATGACATGGCCCTCGAAGGTATCCTGGTTTTTGACATTGTCATCCTACATGTTCCTGGCCGGGCCAGTTTCAACATCATGTTCCATCCATCATTTACTGAATTGCTTATGTCAGGCTAGGATTTGCAACACTCCGAGCGTTGCCGGCTGAGGCAGCTTCAGCAGATGCTGCAAAACTTGGATGTCAGCAATGTTGCCGAGATCGATGTGTCGGAGATTATGAGCAACTAGCCATCTCTTGGTTGAGTTATTTTCGGTTTGGTGTCGTCACATGCTGGTATGTTCACAAATGGGCTCTTAGACGAGGTGACAATTGATGTGGTAGAGTTGGACCAGGAACAAGCTGGTCTATCAGTCAATGTGATCAGCTCATGGTGTTGAACATGTTGATTCCGGCATGTTTGGCCCAAGAGATGTCAGAAAATGATCATAATCCATCATGTCATGTTTACGCTCGAACCTTGTCATAAGGTCTAGATGGCAGGTCAAAGGCTAAATGCTGGTTTTGTTGCCTCATGGTATGCTTTTATTTTTCCAAGGCAAGCTGGCTGGAAACCTGGCAAAGATGAAGCCCAAAGTGCCGGAAAAGGTGCATCGATCCAAGTCAACTTTCGCAGCTGATGAAACTTGGTGGGGCCTGATATGACCACGACTATATCATCACTCTCAAAAAGTTGGAATATACTATGCAGTGGAGAATGGTTGATGTACACTTGCCGTTCTGGAACTTTTGGTAGGGCATTGTGTGACATAGCATGCTTCGAACATCGAATAGTTCTCAAACAATCATCACCGAGACTGTACATTCAGACCAGCGTCATTGTGGGAGTGTGATTTCTGACGCTACATCTGCTTCAATGGCTTTTGTGGGCTGATGATAACCTGTTGGTTTCTGTGAAGGGGTCGTTTGTAGTTGGGGCTTGGAACAGATCGAAGGTAATTATGCAGGATGCTGGTTGAGCCATTGAGAGCCAAAGAGGGCTGAAATCACATCATCGTCATCATCATCATCATCAATATATATAGAGAGAGAGAGAGGGAGAGAGAGAGAGAGTTATTTGTCACCCTTCATTGTTGTTCAGTGACTAGCTGAATTGTTGACAATCAGCATGGCCCAGCACGGTGAAGGGGCTTGCAACATGTGGCAACACATCAGAGGAAGTAGCTTGAAGAGTCGTAAATCCTGAAACCTGGAACTGTGACACCGTGGAAAGATTCCCCCCATGGTGGCGCCTAAGCAGTCCCACAGTCCATCGTCAGGCCCGGCCAGAGCCCAAGCGAGAGCCAACACGGGAGTCGTACGAGTATGTGAAGTTGGTGAACGGAGCTCCTGGTTGTCCAGTGGCTCGGCACATGTTCCAATCCCTGTGCCACTTTGCATGTAAGACCACGTGTTCTACACATAGTTGCTAGTGGTCTGAGGACCGCACGAACCACTGATCAGCAAAAGTCACTCATACCGGCGTCTTTTTGTTTGCCAGTTTGATTTTCCAGGACTTTGACCAAGTGTTCTTGCTTCGTATCTTACATACCCGCCTACGATGTTTATGTCCTGTGAATCAGTTCCCGCCGCAAGTGTGCTCCAAATATTAATTAAGCAAGCATCTTCCAAGACCTACTGTGCCTGTAGGTGGGCTGCTTGAGGGCAAGCCAGTGTAAGCCGTTTGAGCCTTGACACCTGCGAGGTTGGATCAGAGATCCTCACCTTCGAGGAATGCAGGCACCACCTTGGACAAAAAATAGAGACCAGAAACAACAAAAACATGGCGGAGACTGACGCTGAGCATCGCTGAGCGGTTTGGTAAACTGAGGCGCTGTTTGTTGGATCAGGGAAGCGGGAACTCAATCTTGTCCCATATAAGACTCGAAGACTCTTTTGTGGTTCACCTTTGAGCGGTTGCCGAGGGATGCAATTTTGTCCTTGGGCCAGAAGCCGGACCCATACTGGAACCTGGGCAGCTATACAGAAAGCTTGTGGACAAGGTTCCTTGAATTAGATATAATATCGCATATCATTGCAAATGCCTTGGCACCAACGCATGAGCTGAGGACCAACAGCTTCGAGGGGTTGCCACGACATTGCTCCTTGCGTGATCGGCCTGGTGAGGTCGTGGGTTTGGTCCGGGCGCTCAGATGCTGCCCAGGGCACTTTTTTGGTTTTCCTTAGTAGCTTCTAGCTACTAGTAGCGATGCCCTTGGTACTATGCCAAGTTATGATGTCAGTTTGGTGTGATTTCATATAACTTGTGCTTCGTGTTCATGATCAAGTCAGGGTCGGGCGTTGGTTAGGTCCCGGCACTGTGTTTGTCGTTGTTCATTCGTTTAGTTTGTTTGGTGTTCTTTTTCCCATGGGTCCCATGCGTTGATGTTCCTCTAGTTGTTCCTCTATTTCTCTCTCTCTCTATTTATATACATATGTACACCAACTCAAAAACGCACGCGTATTTATACGGTACATTATATACTGTATATATATATATGTGTGTGTGTGTGTTAGTATGCTTATATGTGTGTTTTACCTCTCTCTCTCTCTTGTTCTTGTTGCTTTCCTCTCTTCCATTTTTCTTGCCTTTGCACATCTTGTCATGTCCAAAATCACATGCCATGGCCCAGTGGGGGACAAACTTCCAGGAGCGCATGCACTTCAACACAGCGAATCGGGGTACTGGCCGGGACGATTTGGCGCCAATCTGCCGAAAGCAAGGACAACTGCTGTTCGTCCTTGCTTCCAGGGTATCTCATGATGTAGGGATGGAGAGACATGAGGCTGTCGCACGTCAAGCTTCAAAGAACTTGTGCAGTAGAGAGGGTTGTCGAAGCATCCTGGCCTCCTTTCAGGAGGGCAGCCTGTGAAAGAGGAAACCTCCAGTAGCAAGAGTAACTCAAGGACAGGCGTGGTGAGGGACAACTCCCATGTAATTCAAGAGCTTAATGGCAACTTGATCTTGATTAACTTGCTTTCGTTGCGTGTTGCTGTTTAGCGGGGGCAGACGGGCAAAGTTGGAGTTGTAGACAATTGGAGTTGTCGTTTCTGCGGCCCGCGGTCTATGAAGCCAAGGCAAGACGCAGCGAAGATTACTGGCAAAAGACTCTAGGTTTGACTTCAATGTTTGTCAGGGCAGGCGATTCCAAGGTTCCAAATGGTTCCAATTCTCAAGCACCGGTGTTGAGCAGTCAACGGGACACCCAATTTGAATAGAGCTGCAGAGAGAAGGCCATGGACACATGTTGGTACTGAGTCGGTACAGATTGTCCTGGAGAGTATGCTACTTCAGGCATTTTCATGCATACTTGTTCACCCAATGTATAACCCTCTATCGTTTCATGATGAGAAGTTTGTTCCAGCTTTTCAGTCCAAACAAACTGTGTATTTGTGGCTCATGCTGACAGGTGGTCTAGGGCCCTCTCTGAAAGTTCACTGAAACTGAGGAGAAAGTCTTCTATTTGGTTTACATGAAGCAAGGCGGCCTCACCTACACAGATGAGAGCATGCTGTTGGACATCAAGGATCACTTTCAGCAACGATTGGAGGAGCGTGGCATCTCCCTGGATTATTTGTGGCTTGAAGCTTTGTCTTATCTTAGCCGAGCAATGTGCAAGAAAGAACAACAACAATTGAACAAGTGGCACGGATCAACTGTGCAGAACGACCCCGCTATGTGCGAATGGTCGCTCATGCAATGATTTGGAGTAGGAGAGCATTGAAACAGGCCAGAGGCAAGTTTCTGGATGGAGTGGGTTAGTAGCCCTGCTCGACCAAACCCTGTATGTATAGCCTTTCAGAAAAGGAATGGCCTTCGCCTTCGCATCCATTATACCATGCAGAGGGAGGGTGGTAGCATGCCTTGTGTCCACCAAGGATGTTGGTGTTGAACGTCAAATCCGCGCTTTGCTGGACCCACCCACACTGCCATCCGCCATGCTTCTCCAAGGCATGGAAAATATCATGTGAACTTTGATGAACTTTGTGCAGTGCACAATGGTATTTCAAAGCCATGTCAAGTGGCTGTCTCATGCTGTTGCGGGCCAGTGTTCCTACCCTTCCAACATCAGCCGCTGGGAAATCTCAGAAAGCGAGGTGGAAACCAGCCGAAGTTCATGTTGGCTCACCACCGAGAGGAGGATGAAGAAGCACTTGCAGTGAGGGATGAGGAGCGTCGTGCTGCAAAGTCTGTGAAACAATGAAGCAAGATCACTCAAACCTCTCTCTATATCTATATATGTATAAGTTCCCAATTGTAATGCATGGAGATATTGTGAGCGGCTGCAGCTTTTGAAAGTGTGTCAGCTTCTGGGCGCACACTTGGATGTGAGTGGGATCCTTTTCAGGGTAAAGACTCGAGAAAGGTTTGCGACTCCCAAGCTCTTGTTTTCAAGCAGTTCGCAAGCCCGAAAGCTGAATAGTTGCCAGTTTTGACCAACTTTGTTCGCAGACCGAGGATGCTGCCCCTGTTTCAGTTCTGCACTATTTTCAGCGGGTTTTGTACGGTCCTCCGGTGAAACTGTTTGTCCTACACGTTGAAGTGCAAGAACCTTCCGAAATTCACGACCAACTATCTCAAGATGCCACAATCATTGAGCTATATGCCGGCGGCAGGGCTCGTTAAAGGCTTGGATAGGAATAGGGAACCCATCTTTGAAGCCATCGCGTGATCAGTCCACTGACCTGCGAGGAGATCAGACTTTTGCTCAATACACTGTTAGGAGACGAAACTAGGCGATCGCGGCCAGACTGGAAGCCAGGAATTGGAATTGATACGGCTAAATCACGGATTTGTATAAAGTTGATATTAGCGGGGTTGGGTTGAGTTCCATCTCAGCTCCTGTTCCATGTGGCTGGGAAACATGACTTGTTTTGCTGATGTTGCTCGACCAGGATTTATTGTTTAATCCTGCCCTTTGGAATCGGAGTCTGTGAGTATCAAGCTCAATACAAGAGATTTGGGAAAGGAGTGGGCAACATATTGGAGATTTCTTTGGATGTGTTGCATGAAGAAGTCCTTGAATACGGAGGCGTGAATGCTATACAGTGAAAACAACTGTATGATCAAGGGAGACAACACGTTCAGACGCACTGAAGCCCTTATACAGGAATTGACTGCTCACTCGAGGTGAGGTGCTTCAAGCCATCAATTGCAGTTCAACAATTTGGATCAAACACTATAACTTTAGGCACTGGGAATGTGCGCTATGTCGTCATACTTAAAGCAGGATTAGAACTGAGCATTGAAGATTTGTTTACAAAAAGAAAGGAACTCTTGCGCACCAAGAACTTTTGAAATGAGAATGCTTAACAAAAGAACATCTCTTCATGAAAGGACAACTGTTTATGAACAATGCTGTTACAAGAGTGGTTTGTTTTGAACACATGTTCAGCCCACCACGCGGGGATATATATATATATCTATATACACATATAGAGAGAGAGAGGGATTGCAGAAGCACTCTAAAGGTAGATTGTTGAGGGAAAAGGCTGTCAATAAACGTATGTATATAGATATATTATGCTACATTCACGCATTTGCAGATACAGGTGCACATTCTCCCAAAGAAGCCCTTTGAGCATCAGCGTTTCCCATCGGGGCCAGGTTCCAACGGCTGCATGCCAAAAAGCTGGAGACGTCCTGGGCAAAAAAGACCTGAGTCTCGGCAGCCAAGAGTAAGAGGATTTTTGGCAAGCCCCGTTGTCCCATGCTACTAGTAATTAACAAGAAGCTACTAGTAGCAATGGGTTGTTGGCATGACGGACACCCACCTTCATGGGTCCAAGACGGGCACCTTGCTTCAAGTCCTTCAAGAAGGGCCGAGGGTAGACCAGCTTTGGCCAAGCCTTGCTGAAAAAACTCTGCAAAGCAAAGGCCTCAGTCCTCAGTGGCAGAAAAACTGTTCGTGTGCGCTGTGTGATCAGTTTGAAGCATCCAACCCCCTACCAGCAACAGCAGTTGCTGGCGGAGTGTGAGAGAGCATTCGGGCTGCAGGTCTGGCCTGATGCCAGTGAGGTTCCTGGAGGTCGATAGATGCACCTAGGGGCGAAAGTGTTGTTGGCCCAGAACATGTAGCTCAGCCCAAAGACTCCAATCTCATCCAAAGTTCATGATTTAGGCAGGTGCAGGCGAACTCTATGTCCCAACCATTGATACCATTCATGATCTCAATGGCCGCTTGAGTTGCAGGTTGCTCGGCCAGAAGACGTGTGTCAGGCAGGGCCAAGTACTTGCATGCGTCCTACCCTGACAGGAGAGCTGTCGAGATTTTGTACAGGGTGTAGGAGCTCAACACTCCCCTTACTTTGAGTTTGCTCGATTTGTTCAGTTCTATAGTCTATAATGATATTTATACTTTAGTCCTTGTTTTGACAAGATGCAGGTGCAATTCCTTGCCAAGCTGATCAGTTAAGCTCACAACTGTGGCCAGGGGGCTTTGGGCAATTGCTGGTTTGCTGGTGCCTTGAGCGTCAGGGATGCTTAGATGGGAGTGAGGGGCGTTCAAACAGCATTGAAGAGGAATGATTGCAGCTTGGCCAAACCAGCAAGGACAAAGATATCATCCCACATCCTGGGTGCTTATAAAATTGAGCACCCGTCAGAAACTCAATTTGTAAGAAGACATTTTGTTCAAGAGTTCAGGTAAAACTTGGAGGACAAATATGTTCAAGGTCATTGATGTTCAAGAATCGTGTTTCTTTAAAGGGGGGTATGCTCTTCCTCAGGCTTTCGCACCAAGGAGTTGTTATTTCATAAACCGGGTCAGATTCCATTTTGTAGAGCCAGCTATCCATTTTGCAGGCAGTTTTGGTCGTTTTTCCATTTGATACCCAGTATGCATTTCTGAGTTGCAGAATCCACAACCCCATGTGCAGCTATTAAAAGTATGATTCACATAATTTCATCTCACTCGGTAGGCAAGCGGAGATTCGATGCTCGTTTGAACTGCGGGGCGCATTGCTATAGTATGCTACACTTATAACTTATTATATACATATAGGTCCGCTCAGTCCTTTGTTCCCGAGCATGCCCCCACCCGCTGCCAATATATAGACAGAATCACCCGTTGCATATTTGGGCACAGTGTATATAGTGCAGTCCTAGGCCATGATTATAACATCGGCTGGGTGCAATTTAACCATCGTCGACAAGGTCATGTCCATGTACTGTAAATATCCGTGACCTGTTGGGTGGCTTACTTGCAGTTTTCAAACACTCCAAAGAGCGCGATCGCAATGGCAATAGTATGCGCCTGCGAGATGGGAGTGTAGTTCAGAGGTGTGTTTCAGCCATTCCTATAGCCGTGAGTTGTGAGCACGCTTCCAAAATAGATCCCGAATGCAAGCCTTGATGGCTTTTCGTTCTTACTTTGGTGAAGTAACACCCCCGAGTGGTGCTTTTCAGGGCCACACTAGATTCCAGATTGAAGTTCTTTACTATAACTATACCCATAACCCTGTAACGCAACTACAATTCTAGAACACTTTGTGAATCTTTGTGACTTGTTATGCTTGTCAGAAAACGAAGGCCATCGATCGGACGCTGCCGCGTAGCCCAGGTCGTGGCCCAATTGCAGGGGCTCCTCAGGGACTCATCAGGGACTCAGCGGATGAAGTTCACTGGCGTTTTGATTGACTTGTCTAAAGTCTGGTTTTCTTTTCAGTCGCCTTCCTTGGAAGCCCATTCACCAGCTCGGATCATGACAAGAGCAGCATCATTTTGTGTTGGGACGCACTGAAATAGTATTGACTGGCATTGATTGTGTGATACACTAGCTCACGTGAAATGCAACTAACTCATCTCCACGGATATTTGCCGCATTTTGGTACAGAACTTTGACGGCAAATGGTATCGACACCGGGCAAGTCTGATCATGAGAAACAGGAGTCCTTTGCGGCTGGCATCCGTGGCACATGTGCTTGTTACAGCATGAAAGAGACATCACGACCAACTGGAATTATTGGGTTTGTAAGGGCGTTTAGTTTCCTTCACCCACACAATGTCAAACATCCAGATTCATCAATGTGGACTGGGCAATTTGTCCACCTACTTCTACGACTTGTTTGATTCAATGTTGAACACCCAGAGGGTCCACGGTCGGATGAGATTGCCCAGGGGTCTTGTGAGACCGTCCACTGTTCGGCCCGTGGATTGCATTCCAGGCCTCAACTCATCGATCGCATTTGCCTCACGAAGGCCATAGCGGGGTTGGGGGATTTGGAAGGACAGATGCTTTGAAAAGGTCCCCAGGTATACAACCTTTGAATCCTTGCTGTCGACAGTAGGGCAGATAGGTTCCCTTGTGTAACTTTGTGAATTCCTTGGGCGGCATTGTTATTGCGACAGTCTTGAGGTGTCAGACATCAAAACATCTCACCCCAACTGAAGAACAGCATCAAGGCCCTCCGCATTGTCACGGCTTCTTTCGCCTCAAGGCTTCCGAACGGAGCATAGTTGTAAGAGCTTGACGTATCCACGTTGGTGTTCGCTGGCGTGCATCGCTCGCACACGTTGAAGATGGGACAGATCAAACAGCAAGCGGCCCAAGGGCGATCGTCCTTTCCAGCCTCATTCTCGCTGTATTTTGGCTCAGCGGCTCAAACTAGGGGTCGCCCTGTAGGAGAGAGTCAGAAGCTGAGCTGCAAGAGATGCTCATTCTTCTGTGGGACGCTCCTGGCGACTGTTGCCAGAAAGCATCACACCCGTAACGACTTTGGAAAGGTTGCTGACCACGAAACAGTTTTGACCTGCAGGCTCGAGTTGGCTTAAAGATAAAGTTCAACATTTTACTTGGAAGCCTGCCTGCAGCCTGAGGCACATGAGGCATGGCAGACCTTGCTTCCCTCCCTGCGGGTGAGCGCGTGCGCGTGCTTGGGGGGCAGGAACTTTGAGAAGCGCGGAATCCTAAAGCATTCAGAGGGTGCAAGGCTGAAACGAAGTAGCATGCTGGACACTTGGCATTGGTGCTCGACGGCCACAGCAGGACCTGCGTACTTGAGGTTCCATGGCGGCATGGAAGGGACCATCGTACGGAGTCTCAGAGTCTCAGGTCTCTCGAGGATGTGATTTTGTTTGTTGATTCATGTTCCAGGGATTCTTGATTGATGTTGATGTTGTTTCATGCGGTGTCTACATTTGGAAGGTCGAGGGCACCAGCATAAGCAGCATAAGCTACTGTACATCATGGCTCTTTGTCAAGTTTATACGGTAAGGATTGTTCACAGTTGCCTGTGTGCGAAAGCAGCCTGCCAACTGTTCAGGTGGAAAACAGCCCAGACAGCAGGACGTTTGATAGCATGTCGCATGGTCAGGCAGAAGCATTCGGAATGCTGGCCGGCAGTAAGCCACCTTGGCAAGCTTTATTTGAGTTGTTGGCCTCATGACTCATGCCGCATGCCTGAATCATGACAGGTGGCTTGGGCCACATTCTCTCGCCACCCAGTTGTGCAGGAACATGCGGGTGCAGTTTGACGACGCAACCACCTCTGGGTCAGATCCCATAGTGGTGGCTTACAGGCGCATGTGTTCTTGAATTATCATGACAAGACCTGTTCTGCGGCCGGCGGCGCTTAGTGTACCTTTGACATCCTTTGACGCAGGCACCTGGAGCATGCAACCAATCAGGGTGGCTACCGGCATGTGAAGAAGGAGGACATCAAGGTGGCTTACACAGGAATCATCAGGTCACCTGAATTCATGTCACCTTTGAAAGATGCATGGCATCGACGTCTCTCATTGTCGCCGTGCGGACACGAACGGCCGGCGACCTTCACTCCGGGTGTCACGCCTGTCAGGTGGAAAAAACTGAGAGCTCGGCGCTTCTAAAGGCCGACAGCGACGGGAACGATCAATGGACGTGCTCTAAGACTCTAAGACCTGCAAGAATCTGCATAAAAGATTGACATTGTTACAGATACATACATTCAATTACAATGTGAATCATTTCAGTGTAGTAATTATACTTTAGTGACTCAATTTGTCCACATTTGCTTACAATGTCCGAGAAAATCTGGAGAGGTCGATATCATTGGCACAGAAACTGGCAAAGGTAAGATTACGGTAAGATTCTGCCCACCCGACTTTTGGTGGGCTGATTGCGTTGCGTCTCAGCAACTTGAGGGGTGTTTGCTGTTGAATGACTTTGAGGGTAGGGCCTGTAGGGGTTGCTGACTTGGCTGTCCAACACCTACATGGATGCTTTGCTTCTAGAGAAACTGTTCAATGCTGCTTGAGGAGGAGCCAGCCAATTGTTGAGTGGCCAATTGTTAAGTGCATGGCACTTTCTGCCTTGGCTTGGGGTGTGGCTTGCAGATCCCTGGCAGCCAGTGAGTTGTCGCCTTGTGAAATTGACACCGACTCACAGTTGCCATCATTTGCCTGATTTCGCTCAAGCCAACTGCAAGATGAACAAGCATGATTGGATCTCACATGCGAGCTAAGAGGAAAGAGTGGGAAGCAGACTTGGCCGGGCCCAGCCTCTCAAACTTGATCAAAATTCTTTTATATAGATAGGGCTAGTCAGCCGCTCGTCAGCCAACCGTCATCACTCCACCATCGAAAGTTCGGATCCAACTTCGCCCATTTGGTCACTGTAGCTGATCATAAGGCAGGTGGAAGCACAAGAGGACTTCTGTTATACCCTGAGACATCTCACCATTTCAGAACGGCTGCTCCATGATGTGCATGGGGAGCATGATTCGCCACAACCAGATAGCATTTTTTATCGCCTGGTGGATCGCCACATGGCTCTTCGCCTGGTGGATCCCTGTGTTTCCTCGCCGTCCATCCCGCGGACTCCACGTCGGGTGCTTTGGCCACACGCGTCGGCCAGCGCTGCGCTGGTCATGAGCTACGGTCAATCTCGGCGCCTTGGGGCGAGGCCCATGGGGGCCATGGCGCCGGCCTGGGAAGCTTCGATCCGTTTGGTGGACGAAGTGAACAAGCTTCGATACAGTTCTTGGCAAGATTCAGTAAAATGTTCAAGGATTCCTCATCATGCTGAAGCATTGCAAGACAAAATCGTGGATAATCGTGGAGTAGTTTAGTTCTTGATGTCATTTTGATCATTTTGACCACTGCTTGAGCATCAGGGAGTGATTGATTCGTTCTGGTGGAAATGGCTGCGAAAGACAGACATGAACAGACTTCAGGCTACCCGCAGGAGGAGCTCTTGAAGTTGCTGAACTCTTTGACCGCGCCGCGCAAGGTGTATAGATCCTACATTCCACCTGCAGGCATCTTTCAGGGCGTCAGGGACTCCCAAAGTGAAACCGTGCAAAGTCACTCGTGGCTCCACTTTCTTCTCGTTGGCGGAATTTCTCGTTGGGAGTTCAATCTTAGAGCTTCAACCTATTTTGCAAGCGAAATCTCATCGGAGTGCTTGCAGGAAGCGAGCGGTTGTTCCTCTACGATTCCAATGGCGTGCCCAACCCGGGTGCCCCAGTGGTGCCCTGCGTCAACTGGCATACAGCAAACTTGAAACAAAAACAGGAGATGGTCCAGCGGTGAAAAGAACATGGTACAAAAGAGCCACGAGTGAGATTTGGCTTGTTAGTTTTCTTTAAAAAACACAAGCTAGGGCCGCTAGATTTTGGAGGTTGTAGTGGTACTGTAGCTCTTTATTTTGTTTCCCACTGTCCAAGGCTTGACGTGATGTGAATAATGCATTTCTATATCTAAAGCATCACTTGCACTCTTTGTTGGGCCAAGAAAACGCAAACAAACACTAAAACCAAAACAATCAATGATTGTATTTTTTGCATTGTATTGTTGATTGTCCTGGTTGCCTGAGTAATTCTGAAGTCATACCAGCAACAGTGACGCATGTTACACATGCAGCGCCTGCGGCGTTCAAACAGCCAGGACATCTTGGAGGAAGCTTTGTCTCAGCTGAAGAAGAATGGCAACCCGACATTAACAAGATTCTGTCTTGTTAACAATTCCTCGGGCCACTAGCCCTACCCTGCGTTTCGGAGAGCATCGAAGGTGCAGTTCCTCAAGACAATTTAGAGTTTTGCAATGTGTCGCAGATTTTGGTGATGAACATGATGAGGCCCGCGAATCCGAGGCTTTGTGGTCTTAGAAAGTTTGCTCTCACCTGAAAGGCTCCAGGACTGGCCTTGGCGCGATGGACTAATTATATACATTTGATTTGATTTGACAGGTCGATGGAAACTTGCAACGATCATTGGATACGAATCATTTGCCACACATCAAGGTGAGAAAGGGTGTGCTCTCAAGAGCAGATTGTTGAAATTGCATCCATGGAGGCCTTGCTTGAAGACTTTCGCCGGCAGCGGCAAAACCTGCCCGTGGGTGTCACTTTCAGCCGCATGCGAGCACAGCGGGATCTTTGGACATCAAGTTTAGCACTTTGATGATCTGATGTTTCAGAATGTTCCAGATGGTGGCCTCCCACCACCCTCCCTACAATGCTGGGCCAGGTGCCCTTTCTGTCACAAATAGCATAGTTTGTTTGTGTTTGGCAGTTTGGCATTTCACATTTGCGTTTCAAATCGAACCCGTCAACAGCTACTCGACTTCCCGAGCTCACATTTGACGATCAGGATATGACCATCCCTCCCTTCAACAAGATGTGGGCAAGTGACGACATCATTTGCCATCCTTTGATCCTAGCGCTTTTGGCACGATATCTGCGAAACAGCACGAACACGAGTGAGGACTTGCAGATGCGTATGGTTTGACTGCTTGAAAGAACACTTTGGCCACTATCATGGGTTGGGGCTAGCGGATTGCTGTGACTTTCTCTGAATATATAGAGAGAGAGAGCGGTAAGGAAGGAAGGGCGGATGGAGGGAGGAAGGCCGGCAGCGAACTGAGAGAGAGAGAGAGGGGAGAGGGAGAGGGAGAGAGGCGCAGAGAGGCAAAGGGAGAAAGAGACGTGCAAATATGTTCTTCCCCGACATGTTTTGCCGAGTTTTACGACTTTGGCCAACATGGTTTGCTTTCTAATGCTAACTTGCCAAGCCAAAATTGAAGTAAGCAAAGGACGCCGCTAGTAGCTCCTGGCCTTACGACTAGGAGCGGGAAGCTACTAGTAACAAAGGGCCTCGCTACGAACGGAGCAAAGCATCAACTCCCAAAAACCGCAAGGAGAAGGCAGCTGAAATGTCATTTGCGCACTGGCTCGGTTCTGGCGGAGATATCGAAGAGTTCACCTCCGGGCGTTTGAGTGACCTCGGTTCTGATCGTTTTGGGATGTTTTGGGTCACCAGCATGTTGGCAGATCATTCCCCCAAGAGATCATAGAGTTCTCGAGATTCAGAATGATTCATTCAGATTCAAATAAAGTTGGTAAAGATTGCCGCCTGGCAGGTGCACATGAGGATGTGTTTGAGAATCCAGACATGCTTCAAGAGAAACCCTAGCCTGGCACAAGGTGGTTCCGGCATCCTAGGGTCCTAGAGTCAGTCATATTCACCGTATAGGCATGTTTGTACTAAATTGCGCTAATCAAAAGGCTGCGGCTTTCTTTGTGCCCTGCATGGTTGTTGGATGTCATCGAGCTGCAACACAGCCCCTCAGTTGTTGCTGATGCTGAAAGCTCATGCCAAAGCATCTGACTGAGTGCCCGAGGTGCTGGATATCCCGAGTTAGATTTGCTCGTGGTCGTGGACACACCACCAGGGGCACCGGCCCAAACACGGCATCGTGATACGATCCTTCCTGGTCCCTGTGCTTCACTGGGAGTTCACATACCTCTCACACCCATGCAGGCAAGGCGAAGATGCAGCAGAGCCACACCGGAAGAATTTAGGCTTTGATGCAGTAACCAGCTGGCCAAGAATTGTTTGCAGTGGTTTACACGTTTGTTGACCCTGATGTGCAACGCATTCTACATCATTTCACGAAAGGTAGCCCTTTAGGGGATACCTTGAGTTTGTCTTGCGAAGCAAGTGTTGGGACGTCCGGGTCTAATAATTGATCGCTCAATTCAGACCCCCCCCCCCCCCCCCCCCCCCCTAATTGATTTTTTTAAACAGACCCCCCCCCCCCCTCCCCCCCTCTAAAATCAATTCTCTCCTGGAGATCGTTTTCGTGAGCCTCTCATGATTTCAGGATAGTTGAAACCCTCTTGAACATTCAGAAAGAGTGAATATGAAATTCTAATCACGAAAGGTGTTCTGTGAAGCGCGTCAATTCTCTCCTGGGGAGCGTCTTCGTGAGCCTCTTATGGTTTCAGGATAGTTCAAATCCTATGATGTTCCGATTCAATGCTCACCGATGATCTGAGCCATGGGGCAAGTTTGTTTTCCTAAGAATCTGATTGAACATTTCGAGAGCACATGTTTGAACATTTAAAGTGCATATGAACATATATGTACGAAAGGTCGCCTCCGAGTGGATAAATCACCATGTCGAACATTGCATTTTTGTTCCTGCCTCTCGTGTTCTCTTCTCTTCCCGCTGTCCTACCTTTCGTGTCTCCCTCCTCTCAAGTACAAGCAATGTTTACACAGTTGATTGCATCAAGGTTCAAGGTAGCATCACTGGAAATACTTAAATACTGTATAATACTGTCACAATTCTTGTGATCTAATTGACCTACCTGGAACTCGTGTTCCTGAAAAGTGTTGGTTGTGAATGTAGTTGCTTGTGCAACGGGGCTTGCCGCGCAAGCTTGTTGTTTGTCTATGATTCTCCGTCACCTCCAGCCCGCTGATTGGGCCAGTCCTCGACTAGGTTCACAGTGCCTAGGTAACACTTGGGATTGCATTCATTGCATAATTATATGCATGAGTGATGTAGATATAGATATTATGTAATATTATGTAATTACAATATGTTCATGAATTAACAACATCAATAACAATTTGACTGAAAGTCAGACTGAAAGTATGATATTTGCACGGCCCCGTTTTCATATGTTTTTTCAATGGTTTTCACGAGCCCTTGAACTCCAGGCCACCCCGCTGAACGGTGCCATCGGCTTCTTCCCTTCATCTCATCTCCTCACAGGTGATCTGAGTGGCTCCAAGCCTCAGGAGATGGTGGGCACCTCAGCGCCGGGCTCAGTGATCCTCTACGACTCCTTCACGGAACACCGGGGCTTGGAGAATGAGAGCTCTGAGCCTTAGAATGTCGACAGGCAAAGGGTTTTTGGTTTCCAGCGGTTGTTTTTGAAGACCTGGGTGGCCGAGCTGAGCCGATGAAGATAGACCAGAGTTGATATGTTTGATGTGCTTGATTATCCCTGGCGCGTGTGTGTGTGTGTGTGTGCGCTGCATTTTGTCATTGTGTTCTTGTGTTCAACAAGGGTGTTGGACTACACATTCGATCACATTCGCACTCATTCACACTTACCTACATTGTTTTCAACGGCTTTCATCTTGTAATAATCCTCACCTAGTCTATGTTTATGTTGTTTTCCGTTGTTTTTTTTCCTTTCTTGCTACCTTTCCATATTTGCATGGCCAAGGATGCTCGGGCAGCTCTTTTCGCTTGGTTCCGCGTACCTGGGGTCTACACCGGGCATACCGAGGAGAACTTTGGCCCAGAGGGTTTGCAACGTGCCAACGAGTTCCGAGATTACGTGCCTTCGCCAGCATGGAGAGTTGGGCATACATGCATGTCGGGGTATATTCAACCTGAATAACACATGCGAGTCAGTTGGCCTTAAAGCGGTGTAGTCGGCTGTAGACTGTTTGAACATTTGCAGCTCCATGAGTGGCTAAAATGCGCATGTGCAGAGTCTTGAGTGCTGCAGCCTGTTTAGGTTCGACCACGCCTGTTGGCAGTGGAATCCGAACAGCGCAGCCTTTGCCCGGGTCTTGGAGCCGAAGAGGCCTGGGGCTTTCGCCGGGGAAGCAAACTAGTGCCCTGGACACGATCCTGGGGTGAGGAGAACGTTTGCTTCCAATGCAACCGCACAACCTTACAGGGTGCGAGCGCCTCGCGCCCCGGTTCGGCACGAAACGAGTGGTATTGCGAGACGCGTGGCAGCAAGAGTTCTTTTATTGACTGGGATGTCTTGCATGAAAACATCCTGTGTTAACATCACATGGGTGGAAGCATGTCCATGGATGTTTCTTTGCCGAGTCCAAATGGATTCCTGGATACTGGTTGAGGAAATGCTGGGCTAAATCCGGTGGCATGCCAACACCTTGGCCTGGGAATCTCACTGACCCATGGGAACAGCCAGATCGCGTGAGTGAGGAGAGGTTGAAAGAGACGTGGCCTGCGCTTCAGGTTTTGTTTGTAGGGTTTGTTCGCGTCCGGTCTTGTCTAGCATCTAGGTTTTTGTAACAGCCTTAAAGAATCTTAAAGACTTGGTGCTTGTGCGCACCGAAGCCAGGGGGAGATTTGGCTGCTTGACAGTAGGCATATGGCGCATATGGCATGCTGCAGTTGTCGTACCTAACAAGGGAAGCGTCGTCGCTGTAAGGAATTGCAAGGACAAGGCCTCAACATCACGCCCGGCAAGGGCCGTCACAAACTCACTCTCCTCCGTGAGAGAGGCACTTGGTGAGATAGTCTGAGAGAACCTGCCTTTGGATGCCAAATGGGTTGAAGGGGTAGTTCTGACACCCACGGACAGTGCGAGTATGGCACATTGACATAGTCAGCATATTGATTTTATGATGCTTATGTTTTTATTTTTTATCACATACAGGTGGGTGACATGGTTACGTGCCCTAGAAATGCATGCACTGACATGTATTCAATGTGAATCTGTTTGTTAGTAGTTGTGAGTCAAGTTAGGAACATGCTTTTCCTGTGAAACGGCCCAGCAGACCACACCTTCAGCTTACGAACTGTGACCCAGCTATATATGCTACGATGTTGACGAGGGTGCAACGCCCAGCTGCGGTGGTATGCATACAGAAGTATACAGCGTCAAAGGCCCTAGACTTCTTAAGCTGTGTGCAGTGTGCCCAACACATCCCACGACCAAGTCACTGCGTTTGGTTGCTTTAACTTTTAACCCTTCCTTGGGTCCATGCAGCGCATGCAGGCTACTTCATTCCGGTTGACCCTCAAAACGACTGGCTGGACAGAGTCAGCAATGATCCTCAGCCTTCTGGGTGGAAGGATGCGATGAAGAAGGCCCTCGGCGAAGTTCCACGTTTCGATGGATTCTGATCAGGATCAGCCGGCATCGGCAGTCATACCTCATCATACCTCGGTATTTGGCCTCCAGATGGCATCGAAGACGCGTTCTTCATGTCTTTAATTCCATGGTAAGCTAGCTGCTGTCCCTGACGGAGAGCCAACTGATGTCAGATGCCGCTGATTGTGAAACCAGCCTCTATTGCAGCAGCAGTCGTCACCGACTGTACAACTGCAAGTTCGCGCAAGAAGAGAAAGAAAATAGTTCACTCCGATTGCTGTCAAACATGTGTTTTTAAACCGCCAATTGTCTCACCCAAAATCAACTGCTAAGCTGAGACGGTTTAAAAGCACACTAATTACTTGTGCATACGTTTGCGCAGTTGAAACCTTAATCACTTGCCTTGCGCTCCAAAGAGTGCATACATACATCTCTCTCTCCCTACAGATATATATATATAGATATATAGATATGCTAGCACCATTAAATGAATCCTTTGGGTTTTAAGTTTCAAGCTTCATTTGGGCCCCCACTGTTGGTTCAGCGAAGTCCAAGAGACCAGCTCATTGGCCCATGGCTTCACCAGGAACACGGCAGCTTCAAGTCAAAGCAGTTGGACTGGATCTTAGTTGGGCCTGCGAGAGTTGGACGCCATGGCCACACTTGTTTAAGATCAGGGCAATATATCTCCATTGTGTGCGATTCCTGTACGTGTTTCTCTCTCTCACTCTTTGTCTCTTTTTCTCTCTCTAAGCGCCACACGTATCGCCAGCATTGGCATTTGTCTCCCAAGTTTCTTTCGACATCGGGGTGCATTTAGCTTTAGTGTGAAGACGCCCGCACAAACCAGCTGGTGAAAGGTGAGACTACATGGCCTGCAGAACGCTGCTGAGCTTAATGGCAGGCACCTGGTGCACCTTGCAGCTGCACAGCAGAATTATAGGTCGTGGCATGAAGAGGGCCCGTCTACTCGGTGGAATGAGCCCAAACCATACCTATGCAGCTACTGCAGTCACTGCAGTCCGTCATCCCGTCCATGGCTTGATCGCATAGTCGTTTCTGGACTAAAGTGCTACTCCTCAGGGGTCGATCAAGTTGGTGGCGATGGTGGGAGCAAGGACGCTACTAGGGGCTCCTGGCATCGCTACTAGGAGCAAAGGGCATCGCTACTAGGAGCAAGGACGCTACTAGGTGTTGGTGCATCTCAGACAGCGCCGTGCAACGTCAGAAAAGCAACCATGTAGACTACTATGACCTAATATGCATCATACATGTTTATGTTTATAACATATATATATATGTGTGTGTGTGTTTGGTGTGTGTGTGCGCGTGCATTTGCTGCCTTAAAGTCAAAGGCAGCGTGCATAGATATGTATTTATGTATAGTGTGTGGATGTGTGTGATATGTGTTTGCTGCCTACACTGATATCGTCAGATCTGTGAGTGGTTTGCTTTTTGAAGCCAGTCTACTTCGTATCCCCGTCCAGTGGCCAGGATAGGGCGCCTCCAACGCTTTGATTCGACAGCCGATCGGTGGGAGGCCGGGCTTTGTTTCAAGCGTTTCCATGGGGAGGAGGACAGGAGCGTGTGTAACAGGTACAAAAGTGTGACTTTTGTCATATTTTGTTTGTTTTGTACCGGTTGATCGCGGGTATGCATTTATAGACAGAAAGCTCAAGTGCTGTGGGTTGGCTGTTGGGGGCCAGGTGGAAGTTCGAGGGGAAGGCAGGATGCATTCAGTTTGCAAGCCACAGTCATCAAGCATGCAGCATGCACCAGAAACAGCAACAGCATGAAAGAGCTACGGAGCGTTGATTTGGATGTGATGGAGAATTGGGGGCATTCATCACAGTGGTTTGATTGCCTGATCCAGGGCAACCGCCAATGGACTGGGGCTCCATGCAAGGTTTCTAGACTAGAATGTTTGAATCATAATTAATTATAGCCAATGGACTGGATGGCTTCCTGTGTTTCTTCCTCGGGCACGGAGTCAAAGGCTGCTTGGCCGAATCGTCAGAGCTCTTGGCTCCGTGACTTTGCGTCCGTGTGTGATTGAGTCAGGCTGTCCTTCTCAAGGTAAAATCAGCAGTACATGCGGACAAACAGACTTGTTGCTACCATGTGTGTTCACTTTAGTTTACATTTTAGTTCCGTTTGTTTGTGTGTTTTGATTGTTGTTCCGATTTTTGGATGGAACACGCGGGGGTGACGTTTGAAGAAAAACTGCTTCGAGAATTTGCACTTGAATGGCTACAGTTACAAGGCCTAGAAAGCCGAGATAGGTCAGCAAGCCTCGGTAGGGACGCCAATGAAACGTTACAAAGCCCCCATAGTCACATGTACTGTGAGAATTCTGCTCAGCTTTGCAGAATCAACATTTCTAGTGACACAAGCATATGTACCAAAATATCCTTGTTCTAATCAATGATGGCACGTTGGAATGACCCACCTCCCGCCTCCCACCTGCAGGACAGGGGCGAAAGCGATTGAAGGAGGACAACCTGCAGGTCCCGCAGAAGCCGGAGGCTTCCGGAAGCCGAGGGACGACCGGACAGCGTGTTCGATGCAATGAGAAATTTGTGATCTATACTTCCTTCAACCCAGCTAGACTTGAGAAACGTTGCAGGTCTTTGTTGTGTCAGATGTCAGAAAATAATTGTGTCCAAATGCACCGAAGGCATCCGAAGGCTTGGTGATGTGCCAAGCAAGGATCAGCAGAGCACCAGCTGAGACAGGAGGTTTGCGTAGGAATAGTCATGGACGCTCCTGTCAAAGACTGCCACTTCAGATGTGTGTAGGCGGGCAGCCAGGAACTGTTGCCACACCCCACAGTTGCCAATGTAAAATGTAGGCTGTTCCAGTCACAGGAGACATTTTGGCACAAATTGCCGCGCCACAGGGTGGCAGATTTGTGCAGGTACCTGCAGGCCTCTCGGTGCCGCAGCTGAAAGAGTCACTGCACCCAGTTTTTGTGCTGATGCTTGATGACATCCAGTACACGCACATGATATCACATGATCTTCATGGTACTATAATTGTATATATATCTAGTCCAATCCGTCACCTGCTTCTGAATAATTGACGTGCCAGTTGACGTATGGAACATATGTGTGTTTGCATGCTGGCCATGTCACCTTTTTGATCCCTTGCTACCTTCAACTGGTGACTAGACTTTAGAGCCCATGTTTGGCGCACCCTCGTGGAAGCTTCGCAGCGAGGTGGTCCCAACCAAACCATCAGAATCAGAGACGGGCTTGTGGCATGACTCATGTCACATGTGGTGATTGGGACAAAAAATCTCCTCCAGATGCCCAGCATTCACACTGGGTGCATCATTGACTTTCCCATCCAGTGTGGTCTTCAACGGGAAGCAAGTTTTGAGAGTTTGACTTTTGTGCCGTGTTTTGCTACATTCTTCTCTTTTGGGTCCCTTGGCTGACAAATTGGAATCCCAACAAATGTTACCCTTCAGTCAGACCTCAGCAGCCACATCTGCCATGTTCCAGCGGCCCAGGCGAGGCAATGAAAGCTTCAAGGCTTCAGAGCTTGAGGAGGCGATACCGATACCCTTATAGAAAAAGTACTGTTTAGTATTAGAAACCTAATAGCGACCGCCTCCAACCTTTTAATAGCAACGGCCTCCAACCTAACAGCAATGGCCTAGTCAATGGCCTTTGCTCCTATAGCAATGGCCTCCACCCTAAAGAATCATAGCAGTTGTGCCGTGGCAGGGGTCAGCACGCATGACCACGCTTAGCGTGTCAGTACTGTAATGGAGAGGTCCCTACAAAGCCCAAGTTGAGAACGAAAGTAGATGCACGGAAAACCCACCGAGCGGTAAAAGCAGTCAATGTGTTCTTTTTGATTTCTATGTTTGGCTCGGGTAGTAGGTGTAATGTATATATATATATATGTATGTGTGTGTGTTTAAAAAACAAATAATCGGGTAGGTATCTAGATTTCATACAATATGCGCGGTGCCATGTCTAGTTGTTCCCATGTGTTTTTGAAGATTAGCGCGATCTTTTTTGTGATGGTGTTCAAGTGGTTTGCCTGTTTTTTGCAGACCACGTGTTTTTTTGACGGTCTTGCTCGAGTGTTCTTTTCGGGGGGAATAGATTTTGTTACCGTAATTGCTGTTTTTTAAACCACGGGCCGGGGTACCTCGGCTTAATCCTTGAAATGTTTATTTGTGCGATAGTAAGGTGCGGCCTTGATTGTTACATGAAAAGGACTATGTTAAGGTTTATTGTTTTCGGGAAGCCGGTTTTGCTTTGAGTCTATACCCGAAAGTGTTATTTTTTGCCGTGTTTCCCGGGGGGGGCGCCATGTCCTTTTTACCACCCGCGCGGTATAAACGATAATTTGTTGTTTCGTTTATTTCCTGTGTTTTGCGGGGGGTCGCCTTGTTCTTTTGGCCACCCGCGCAGTAAAAACGGTAGACATCGTGTCTTTTCAATGTTTCCCGGGGGTTCGCCGGATTCTTTTTTAACCACCCGTGCGGTAGAACAGTACACATCATTTGTTTTTGCGTTTATAGCGGGGGGTCGCCTAAATGTGTTTAAAGCCCGCGCGGTAAAAAAGACTGTAAAAAAAGAACATTGTTTGTGTTTAAGTTTTTACCTTTTATACTGGGGGCGCCAATTGTTTTGACAACCCGCGGTAAACCGGTAAACATTGATTGCGAAAGGGTACCCCTTAGCAAAACAACTCATGTGAACCGGCTTAGCCAATCTACATTTTGGCCGTACTCAGTACTCCACTGACATGGTGTATATACAATCCCCCCACAAGCGACAGGCTGAATCAAACTATATTTGCATTTGATGTGTGTGTGTCCATTAGTTGACTTCTTGGGTTGGCCATTCACAATCTTTTATGGCTAATGTCTTGAATATTATGCCTATCATGAAGCACGGATGTTTCTTGCACTGCCACCTTATTTGCACAGCTCTTGCCTTCCTACATGCCGCTGCATGAGTGCTAAGTCTGCTCTTCCGTGCAACAGGCGATTGCCTGCTACTCCGCGGCGATAGACCTCTTGGAGGTGACGTCCATGCATTCCAACGGAAGCAAGAACTGGGCAGTTGATTTGTGCAATTGAATGGCAGGTCAAATTCAACATATCATACCGTTTCGACAGTTGACCTCCAGATGCCCTGAGAGCTGAACCCCAATCTAGTGCCAAACTGGTAGGGGCAGACAAGGTTACCTTTGAAGCTTACCCGAGCATCCGTCGGTGACACTGACACCCCATCTCGCTCTCCAGGATGCTGCCGAAGGAAGCAGGGCCCTTGGTTCATGGCCGATGACGAGCG